TCACAGACTTCATCTTCGTCAATTCTAGACCCTTCGCGTAACCCCACCAGCCTTTTACTTTTTCCCCGCGTCTGCTGGCGACAGTTGCGCTGTGCCCACCGGCCTCCGCTCGTAGCACGACCTTTCCGACGCCGCGCGGGTGCCCGGTCGCGGTCGCGATCAAAAAAGTAACCCCACCCTAGGATGCCAAGATGTGGCCAAAACCTACGTCAAAGCAATGATTTTGGCATTCTCGCCGAGGCCTTTTGGAGCGTCTTGGGTGCCTCTGGGTGGCCTCTTGGGGCCTCTTGGGGGTCTCTTGGGAGCCTCTTGGGGGCATCCTGGCGGCCTCGTGGGGGCTTCTTGGGGCCACATGGGGCCATCTCGGGGCCATCTCGGGGCCTTCTGGGCGCCTCTTGGGGCCATCTTGGAAGAGATCGGTCACAGGAGGGGGGAGGGGGGCTGAATTAGCCTCCCCCCTTAGGAGGCCAAAGTGGGGCCAAAACGTGGGTGAAACCAATGATTTGGGCTTCCTCGCCGAGGCCGTTTTGGACGCTCCAACGCGTCGAGAGACCCCCCGTCCAGGTCCAGGGGAGGGGTAGGGGGAGGGGTCAAGACGCCCTCCCCGCCCGCAAGCCGTCTCGTTCACTCCCACCCGCCCTCCCAACACATACGCAGCACCTGAGCCTGGCCCGAGCCGCAGCATATTCAGTAGTCGACTTTGGATGGGCCGCTACTGGGTGCGAATCCGCCGCCGCCGCCGCCGCCGCCGCCGCCCGCCGCTGCCGCCGCCGCGCCGCCGCGCCGCCGCCGCCGCCCGCCGCCGCTGTCGCCGCCGCCGCCGCCACCGCGCCGCCAGCCGCCGCCGCCGCCGCGCCGCCGCCGCCGCCGCCCCGCTGCCGAATCGCCGCCGCCGCAGCCGCTGCCGCCGCAGCCGCCGCCGCCACCGCTGCCGCCGCCGCCGCCGCCGCCACCGCCGCCGCCGCCGCCGCCCCCGCCGCCGCCGCCACCGCCACCGCCACCGCCGCAGCCGCCGCAGCCGCTGCCCCCGCCGCAGCCGCCGCCGCCGCCAAGTGTATTCTGCATTGCTTTTGACAGGGATGGTAGGGGTAGGCCGCATCGGGTTCGCTGCGCATGCTCCGAATTTTGAGGCAAAATATGTTTTGTATTGTTTTTGACCAGGGATGCTGGGGGGGGGGCCCTCATTGGCTCGGGTTGGCTCCCAGTCGCCTGGGGGAGGGGGTGTATATTCATAGGGAACAGTAATAAACCCTTCCCCGAACGGGACGAAGGAGGTTGGAAGAGGAAACTGCCTAAACCACCTACGCCCAGAGGGCTGGTGGGATTCCTCCAACTCGGTCGCCGCGCAGCCCGTGAACGTGTGGCCCTGGTCCTGCTGGCTTGCCACGCCGGTTATTTCGTTTTTTCTTTTTTTATTATTATTATCCCAGTGCGACCCTACCTAGGAGTTGGAACCCCTAGGGAAGCAGCATTAGTAGTAACGGTAACGCTAAGCTGAAGCTAAGTTAAAGCTAAGCTAAAGCTAAGCCACAGCTAAGCTAAAGTTAAGCTAAAGCTAAGCTAAAGCTAAGCTAAAGCTAAGCTAAAGCTAAGCTAAAGCTAAGCTAAAGCTAAGCTAAAGCTACGCTAAAGCTAAGCTAAAGCTAAGCTAAAGCTAAGCTAACCGCTAAGCGAAAAGCTAAGCGAAACGCTAAGCTAAAGCTAAGCTACAGCTAAGCTAAAGCTAAGCTAAAGCTAAGCTAAAGCTAAAGCTAAAGCTCCCAGGGGACTGGGGGGAACCGCTCCCAGGGGACTGGGGGAACCGCCCGGGGCGCTTTGCACTGCCCGGCCCCTTTAAGCTAAGAGAGTAAGAACCTTTCTAGGCAGAGCCTAGGTAGGGACAAATTATCCCAGTGCGACCCTACCTAGGAGTTGGAACCCCTAGGAAAACAGCATTAGTAGTAACAGTACCGCTAAGCTAAAGCTGAGCTAAAGCTAAGCTAAAGCTAAGCCACTGCTAAGCTAAAGCTAAGCTAAAGCTAAGCTAAAGTTAAGCTAAACGCTAAGCTAAAGCTAAGCTAAAGCTAAGCTAAAGCGAAGTTAAAGCTAAGCTAAAGCTGAGCAACAGCTAAGCTAAAGCTAAGCTACAGCTAAGCTAAAGCTAAGCCACAGCTAAGCTAAAGCTAAGCTAAAGCTAAAGCTAAAGCTAAAGCTAAGCTAAAGCTGAGCAACAGCTAAGCTAAAGCTAAGCTGCAGCTAAGCTCAAGCTAAGCTAAAGCTAAGCTAAAGCTAAACGAAAAGCTAAACGAAACGCTAAGCTAAAGCTAAGCTACAGCTAAGCTAAAGCTAAGCTAAAGCTAAGCTAAAGCTAAAGCTAAAGCTAAAGCTAAAGCTCCCAGGGGACTGGGGGGAACCGCTCCCAGGGGACTGGGGGAACCGCCCGGGGCGCTTTGCACTGCCCGGCCCCTTTAAGCTAAGAGAGTAAGAACCCTTCTAGGCAGTGCCTAGGTAGGGAACAACAACTTTCGGCACTGTGGTCCTTCTGGCGGCAGTAGCTGCACTTAATTACTTTCGCGAGCTTCTCTGCTGATGGTCGTCGCGGTCCGTCTCGAGGGGGTCGTCGATCACGGGTGCCGTCGCGAGGAGGGCGACGATCGCGAGCGGGACGGCTGTCATCATGATGCTGCCTTGCCGGAGCCGAGGGTCGGCCCCGACCCTCATGGTCCTTCGTCTTTGGGCTGAAGAACTGTCGATCCTACCGGGCACCACGCTTGAGGTCTCTATTTTCCTTTTAAGATCTCTTCCTGGCAGTCTCTCTGCCCGCCAGGAACGCCTCTAGCTGTCCTTCGCTCAGGGCTACCCTGCTTCCAACCGCGGTCTTCCTGAACGACCGGGTCGCGATTTGGAATGATTCGGGAGGCGTCTTGGAGCCGTTTGGGGCTGCCATGGGGCTCTCTTCGGGCCATCTTGGGGCCCTCTTGGGCCGTCTTGAGGCTCCTCCTCTTGGACTGCCTGGAAGCCCTCTTGGTTAAATTTGGGGCGACTCTCTGACAGCCTCGTCCAGCTCAGCCAGGAGTGCTGCATCGGCCTCCGAAGAGAGAGGGGAAGAATCGTCCTCACCATCGTCGTCGTAGTCGTCCTGACCGGCCACAAGTACCCCGGCCTCGCCTGTCGCTCGCATGGGGTTGGCCGCTTCGGGCCTAACCTCCGACTCGACAGGCATGAACCTAATCGTGCATTTGGAAGCAGCTGCTCAGAACCCGTAGAGTCCATCTGCTTCAGGGCCCACGCAACCTGCGCGAAGTCGAGGTTGCCTCTGGTAAGCGTGCGGAGGTTCTGGAGGCCATGTGCTGAGAGTCCCGCTCCTTCTTCCAGGAGTAGGCCCTTGAACCTGTCGCTCATCCACAGGTCGTGGCCTTCTGCTTCAAGGAACTGCAATTCCCCCCTAGACACGAACCGTAATAAGGGTCTCGGGGCTGTTGCGCTTGGCCTCGTAGACCGCACGCAAACCAAGTCTCCGTACTTCATCTCCTTCTCGCTCGCCAATCTTCAAGTCCCTGCGCGACAGGATGGCCTCCAACCAGCCTCGGCCTGACAAGATCGACTCGCTGACGTCCCCGAACTTGGCCTGCATCGTCCAGTCGAACTGCTCCAGTAGCTTCTCGGCCCTCCTCCAGATGACCACGTCCGTATTCTGGTCCCAGCGCCGAACAGCTCGCTTCCGCTGGCGGTAGTGGCTCCAGCCGGGCCACGCTGGCGGGTCGGAGCAGTCGCCTCGGCCCGACCCTCCAGCGTCCAAGTCGCCGAGCTTCTGCTTCCGCCGGGCATCGCTCGGACGCGTGCACTCTTTCCTCGGCGAGGACCCCGGAGGAGCATCCTGGATCATCGGGCAAACAAAGACACGCACGAGACCGAACAATGCACAGGGAATGGGCGCCCGAGAGCGATGGCAAGTCCACGGGCTCGGCCCGCCACTCCGTGGACCACCATGCCCTCCAGTCGCCAGTCCGCCGCGTCTGCTCGGGCCCGTCTCCGCGCGGGCCAGCACGGCGCTGCCTCCAGGGGTCCTTCTCCTCCCAGGGGATTCGGGGGTGCCCCGGGGGGGGCCGGCGGAGGCGCCGACGGGGGGGGGGGGGACTGTCGCTCCCCCACTCGTGGTCGCAGCGACCACCTTCTCTAGAATTGTGGACGTCGACTACGGGAGAGGAAGCATGCCGCCAAATAATTGCCAGATGTCCAAAGCATGTGTTAAACATGTTGTAGACATGTAAAGAACATGCATAGAACATGTTTAGGACATGTTTTAGACACATTTTATACTCAATGAAATGACAGTTCGGGTGTCCATTGTCGTGGCATCCACAACTCTAGAAGTGCTCCAAGTCCCTCAGCCTGCTCTGCCGTGATGGGGGAGGGTGACGTGCCGCTGCCACTGGCGCGAGTTGCCGCGACCGCAGGCTTGTCGGAGGGCGGGGCCATGACTGCTAGAGTGTCGGCGCCGCCATCCATCTTCCTATCGTCCTTGCTGCTATCATCTTCGGGCTTGCCTTCTCCCGACATTGCCGTAGATCGTCCGCTCACTCAGGGTAGGGCCTCCTGCGTGTGCTCCGAGCTCTCGAGGTTACGACACGGCGCCGCTTAGCAGCACCCCATGGCAACCCCGCCGGGACGGTGCCTCACCACGAGGCTCCGCTACCAACTGTGGCGGCAAGACCGATAGCAATGGGGCTTTTCCAGCTCGAGCCGCAATGATAACAGTCACATCTCTCTGCACTCCCCCTGTAGTGCAGGCAGCTTCCCCTGCAACACTAAATACAGTGTCAAGCCAAGCCTACGTGATACACCAGCAACACACGAAACGAGGTGGGTTTCCACACACCTGGCCTATGTGGCCCGACGTTTGCACGGCATGGTTGTGCATCCTGGCGCGGGCCGATCCGATTCCGAAGTCGTGCCGATGCATTTTGGGCCGACGCGCTGCTGACTGGTCCTGCCTCCGAGGGATATTGGCTCCCCCTCAGGCAGCGGGAACAGCGACACTGGCAACAGCGGCAACGGAAACGGGGACAACAACGGCAGTTCTGGCGGGTCCGCCCCCAAGAGTGGCAAGGGCGGCTCCGAAGCAGCTCTCATCAGCGGGCTCACCGTTCCAGCCGTCTTGGGAGTCGGAGGCATCGCGGTCTACTTCCTCTTCTGCCGCAAGAAGCCTCAGGTAGACCTGGGCGGCGACTCCGCGAGCGAGATGGAGGACAGCGACCTGAAGAGCAGCGCGGACGACAACAGCAGCTGAGGATCCCAGCGGCCCAGCCGCTGACCGCCGCCCTGCTCGCTGTAGCCTAGGCCTCCTGGATGGGGTCGGAGTAGATGGGGTCGCAGGATCGCGCCGACGTCGCCGGTGCATCGGCGATGCGGCTCGATGTAGATCCAGACTTTCTCCGCGTCGGCGTCGCCGATGCATCGCCGACGTCGCCGGTGCATCGGCGATGCGTCGGCGGCGCATCGGCGAGGCACGGGCGGTGCGGCGCGATGCTTCGACCCCGTCTGCTCGGGCCCCATCTGGGAGGCCTCCCCAGACATCCGACGCCTCGCTTTTTTCGAGACACGGGCCCCCGACCTCCCGACCACTTTCCGGGGGGCGGTTTTTCGTCCCTCGAGGCGTGTTTTGACGGCCCCGAGGCCCGGCGAGGGCCTCGAGGGGCCAGAAGCCACGAGAAGCCTCGAGGCACGAAATCCACGGAGAAGCCTCCGTCTCGATTTCTTCTTCTTCTTCTTCTTCTTCTTCTTCTTCTTCTTCGAGAGAGAGAGAGAGAGAGGCCGAAAGCGTCGAGAGGCCGAAAGCTTCGAGAGGCCTCCGTCTCGATCTCTGCGAGGCGCCCGGCGTCTGGGGCCTCTGCGCAGGTCGCGGGGCCCATGCCGCCGGGCAGGGGCCTCCCCGCGGGGCCTCGGGGCCTCGCCGCCCGCCTCGCCGGGTGCCGCTCGCCTCCCCTCGGCCGCCGGGTCTGGCCCTCCCTGACTCCAGATCCGCCCTACTTTGGCTTTTTTTATAACTTAAAATTGCGTCGGAAATCCACCTATGAGAAGCCGAAAAAGTAGGGCGGAAATTTCTGCACCCAACATAGAATAGGGCGAAAATCCACAGAAGTAGGGCGGAAACAACAACAACAGAAAAGTAAGGCGGAAATTGGCATCAGCGGGGCTTGAAAAGTAAGGCGGAAATTCCAAGCCCTACTTACGAATTTCCCCAAAGTAGGGCGGATCCGGAGTCAGGGCTGCGCGGGGCCACCCACGATCAGGAGGGGGAGCCAAAAACACACAGGCACGATGTGATCGTCGATCCCCCAGAGAATGTGGGAAAGTGTGGGAGTGGAAAAAACGACAAAAGCCCTGCGCGGGGCCGTCCACGATCAGGAGGGGGAGCCAAAAACACACAGGCACGATGTGATCGTCGATGCCCCCAGAGAATGTGGGAACATGTGGGGAGTGGGGGGGACGACAGAAGCCCGGAACATTTTGGGAAATTTGGGGAATCCTTTTATTTATGTTTATCTATTTGTGTGTCCCAGGGCCTTGCGCGGGCGCCCACGATCAGGAGAGGGAAAACAAACACACACACACACACACACACACACACACACACACACACACACACACAGACACAATCAATATTAAGTCGGGCCTGTCCCTCTACAGGGGGAATATCCAAGAATAGTGAAAAACTAGTCGGGGACTATTTTTGAGTATTTTTTGATCATTTTGATTCCGTTGCACCGTGAGCGGTGTGCAGTTGCAGTAGCAGCAGTAGCTCCAGTTTGGTGCTTCGGATTCTTGCCGTGTGTGTGTATCTGTGTGTGCGTGACCATATTGGAATATTTTTTGAGTATTTTTGTTTTTCGTCGAAAATCCCCCTGTAGGGGACACGCCCGGCTTAAAATTGATCGTCGATTCCCCAGAAGAAATGTGGGAAAATATGGGAAGTGGGGGGGACGACAAGAACCTGGAAAATATGGGGAGTCTTTTTGTTTGTGTTTCTGTATTTGTGTGTCCCAGGGCCCCTCCACACGAGCCATACAGTGGGGGCGCGTACCAAGAAACCGGCTGCTTTACGTCGGGGCATCTTGGGTTACTTCGCTCCGCGCGGCCCGCGATGGTTTTCCCGCGGGCGTCAATCGGGCCGAACGAAAGGGGGGGATAGGGAAGGGGGGGGTTGCGAAATCTGCTGCACGCAGCTGGTTTCGGCCCCACCGCCAGGCCCATTCCTCGATACATGGGCGCCGGGAACATCAGCGACGCGAGCTGATTCTCAACCCCACCCTTTGCTACCCCCCCTCTTTCGCCCGGCCCGAGCGAAGAACCTCCCGCGTTCCGGAGGCCCTGGGTGTCCTCCCGGTGCCGCCTCGCGGAAGCAGCGCCCCGCCCCCGAAGAAGCCTCGCTGCGCCGCGGGTGCCTAGCGCGCTGTGGCTCCAGGGGCCCAGGCCCCCCCACACGGGGTCGGACCGTATTAAGTGGACAATAGATTCGAACCCGTACACGTTCGAGGGAGATTCTAAATCACCCCCGCGCCCCCGACATCAGTGTTGGTCTCAGCAAATGCGTTGCCTTGGGGTTCGAACATTGCTTTCGGGGGTCTGGGGGGCATCTTGGGCCACAGGGTTCGAATAGAATGTCCATGTTTAAGTCGGGCGTGTCCCCCCTACAGGGGGATTTTCGACGAAACATAAAAAATACCCCCAAAAATGCACCAACAAAAAGGTCAAAACATATTCGAACCAGTCCCCATACTTTCTTTTTTTTTGTGACTCTTTTGGCGCACTTTTGGGGTATTTTTTTATTTTTCGTCGAAAATCCTTCTGTAGGGGGACACGCCCGACCTGAGTACTGGAGCACACCGCACCGCATCGCCGGCGCGCCTCGGCGATGCGCGGCGCGAGGGGCGCGGAGGCCCGACCTGCCCGCGGCGCGGCGCGAGGCAGCCGCGGCGCGGCGCGGCGCTTCGGCCCCGGCCGCTCGAGCCCCACCCCGTGAGCTTGGCATCGCTCGGACGTGTGCATTTCTCCCTTGGCGAGGGCAATCGAGAAGCATCCTTGATCATGTGGCGGAAAAATCACGCACGAAACTGGAAATAAACACAGGGAATGGACGTCCGAGCGATGGCGAGTGAGAGGAGGGAAAGGTACCCAGACCGGTACCCCCCCCTCGTTTTCCCTTTTTGGGGGCTCCTGTGGGCCTCCGTCGTCGCCACCGCTGGATTCGCCTCGAAATCCGGGTCAGAGCGCACCCCAGGAGAGGTCCGGGGAGCAGCGGCATGGGTACCTCTTGGTTTCCCCACACCTGGGAGGCCTCTGAGGCGGCACGACACACTTCAGGAGGGGAGAAGCACGCGGACAACATGGATCGTCGGTGCCCAGGGAAAGATGGGAACGCGTGGAGGATAGGGGGGGGAGACGAACGCCCCGGAAACATGGGGCAGATATGTTGGGGAGCCCTGGGAGCTGTGGCATTGGTTTGCGTGTGTGTTGTGGGCCCCTTCAACACTGTATGCTTCGGGTGGCCTTCGGGGCCTGTGCGCGTCATACCCCATCAATCCTGCGCGGCCCGAGCGCGACGGCCAGGGCTCCGAAAACCGCCGGGGGCCGCGGCGGGCGGGCCCCGCAGCGGACCAGCGGGGCGGGGCGGGGGAAGGGGGGCCCTGAGGAACAGTGGGCCCAGACAGCGGGCGTCTCGAAACAATCGAGGCGGAGGTTGTTCGTGGTTTTCGGCCTCTCGAGGCTCTCGCCGGGCCTCGGGACCGTCAAAAACCGACTCGGGACGAAGAACGGGTCTCGGGGAAGTGGTCGGGAGGTCGGGGGCACGTGTCTCGAAAAAATCGAGACGTCGGACGTCTGGGGAGGCCAGTCCACAAGAAACCTTCCACAAGAAACCCAACCCTGAGACCCCAGGACGTCCACGGCTCTGTGGTGCGGGGACGCCGCGCTTGCCATGGCGAAAGCATCGAGGCCCAAGAAGCCCAGGGCACCCTGGGAGGCAAGCAGGGTGCTTCTTGGCATGGGTCTCCACTGAAGGGAAGGAGCGGGAACATCGTTTCCCAGCAGTAGCAAGGATGGATGGGGGAAGTTTTCAACTCGCGGCTGTCGATTTAGCGCCGCGTATTCGTTTGATTAGTTTCCACCAGTTGCACAGCTGGAAGGGGGCGTTTTTTGTAATGTGGTCACGCTTTGGTGCCGCGCGCATTCGTGCACTCTTCCAGCAGCTAGACGAGTGGAGGGCGCGTTTCTCTTCAAGAAAGGAGCGTCGCTTGACAATGACCTGATCCTGTGTCCGAGCAGGTGATGAGATTTGTGCAGCAGCTACACGGGTGGACGGCGACTCCTTTTCAAATCGGGGCTCTCGCTTGGGGAGTTCCGCGGACGCCATGTCCAGGCTGCCAAGATCGAGGAGCACTTGCACTGATTGAGGGCGGCCCTATTCCAAAGAGGGGATCTCGCTGGGCACCTCCTTGAGCTGAATGAGCCTACCTCGTCGTCGTCTGTTGATTCCCCAATCAGTGCTTGCACTGAAGGGGTCCTAGCGGAAGTTGAAAGATTTGGCGGAAGTTTCCCGCCGATTTTGGTAGCAGGCTGGGTTCCCAGGTTCCCGGTCCCGGGTTCCCGGGTTCCCGGTTATTGGTTCCGGGCCGATTTCGGTGGGTTCTGGGTTCCCGGGCTTCCGGGTTCCCAGGTTCCTGGTCGGTCTCCTCAGCGAAAACCATCCATTGATTGGGGTGTCTCTCTGTACTCAAGAAGCATCTATGGCAGGTTCTTCTCAAACCGGGGCCCTACTACAGGACCATGCCCGGAGATCAGATGTCGTGATTTTTTCAATGCGGGGTCCCGGGAAGTCCCGGCCTTTTCCCCAGGGGCGGTTTTCCATGCTGAGCCGTTTTTTGACGTTCCCGGGGCCCGGCGAGGGCCCCTTGAGACCGAAAATCCACCACCCACCAAACCACCCGAACCCAACCCGAAGGCCTCAATTTGCCCTCCATTTGCAGTGGGGGGGGGGTCCGGGAACATCGAAAAAACACACACATGGAGCCCGCACCCCCCCCCAACCCGAAATTCAGGTCTTCGGCTTGGGTTGGGGTGGTCTGGTAGGTAGTCAAAACTAGCGAAAAACCTCGGTCTTGCTTTTGTCAAGGCGTTGGGTCTCTGGGTGGGTCGGTCGTCCTCCAAAAAGGAGCCCTTCCCGCGGCGAACAGACAGGCAGTTGTGCACGGCAGGTTCGCGCCTTGCGTCGGCCGGCGGTGACCCCGCAGCGCGTGCGTCGAAGTTGGGACGCCGCCCGTGGGCCAGAGACCCAGAGATCCAACGCACTGACAAAAGCAAGACCGAGGTTTTTCGCTATTTTTGACTACCTACCAGACCACCCCACCCCAACCCGAAGACCCGAATTTCGGGTTGGGGGGGGTATGGGCTCCTTGTGCGTGCTTTTTCGATGTTCCCGGACCCCCCCCCCCCACTGCAAATGGAGGGCAAACTGAGGCCTTCGGGTTGGGTTGGGGTGGTTTGGTGGGTGGTGGATTTTCGGCCTTGCAAGGGGCCCTCGCCGGGCCCCGGGAACGTCAAGAAACGGCTCAGCATGGAAAACCGCCCCTGGGGAAAGGGCCGGGACTTCCCGGGGACCGCGTATTGAAAAAATCACGGCATCGGATCTCCGGGGAGAGTCGGCCCGCCGTGGCAAGATCCTGCAGTCGGCGCAACGCGGGCGATCGTTCGAGATTTTGAACGATCCCCGCGCGGTGTCAGGAACCAACGCCGGGTCGACACGACGCGATCCTGCCGTGTGAGGAGGAGGAGGAGGAGGAGGAGGAGGAGGAGGGAAGGAGGGGGAGGAGGAGGAGGAGGGGGACAAGGAGGAGGAGGAGGAGGAGGAGGAGGAGGATAAAGAAGAATGAGAGGGAGGAGGAGGGGGATAGGGAGGAGGAGGAGGAGGAGGGGTGGAGAATGAGGAGGGGGAGGGGGAGGAGGATAAGGAGGATGAGGAGGAGGAGGAGGAGGAGGAGGCGGATGCTGATGCTGATGCTGATGCTGATGCTGCTGCTGCTGCTGCTGCTGATGATGATGATGATGATGATGATGATGATGATGATCATGATGATGATGATGATGGTGATGATGATGATGATGATGGTGATGAAGATGATGAAGATGGTGATGATGATGGTGATGCAGATGAAGATGATGATGATGCTGCTGATGCTGATGATGATAACTTGCGACGGGCGGGTGTACAGTTGGGGGATTGAAGAAGGAACCCTTTTGGTTGGGGTGGGGCTCCGCGTTCCTTAAGTGTTTCGCAGCTTGCCTCAGGTTTTCCTTAGGCGTTCGATGTGAAATCGAAGTTTAACTCATGGAAAAAAGGGGCCTCGTTCCTTATTTAGGGTTCCTTAGGTCAACGCCCCGACGGTATTTCAGGCATCGTTGGTGCATCTTGGGCGTGCTGTGGTCTCTCCTCCTGTTCGTTTCCTCACGAGCGGCTCCTCCCCGTCCCCCCCGCACCGGCACTGGTCGGCCGGGCGGGGCCAGGTTTTTTGTCGGGCCTGTCCCCCCACAGTTACCAGCCTGGAACATATCCCTATCCCTATCCCTATGCTGGGCATCTCCTCTTCACGATGCCAATCTTAGGGATTCCCTTATTTTTTGAGGGCGCATGTTGTCATCGCCTTTTGGCGTGTCAATCTTAAGGATAGGGATACGCTCGAGGCTGGTAATACAGGGGGATTTGCGACGAAAAATAAAAACACCCCCCCCAAAATAGTCAAAAAATAGTCCAAAAATAGTCGGGTGATTATTTTTCCGTATGGTTTGACCTTTTTGGCGCATTTTTGAGTATTTGTTTTTATTTCTCGTCGAAAATCCCCCTGTAGGGGGACACGCCCGACATAAATTTATGATCCTGAAGCTTGAGCCTTGCGGCAGTTTCACGGATGGAGGGCAGGTCGATGTCAAAGTGTGGTTCTCGCCGTAGAGCCGCGCACGTCCGTCAGCTTCACGGCTGCAGGGTGGGTCGTTTTCAAGCTGCGGTTCGCTCCGTGTCGCCGCGCACATTTGTCTTCAAAGTTTGCAGCAGGTTCACGGATGGAGGGCGGCTTCTTTTCAAAATGTGGTTCTCGCTTCTGTTCTGCGCACATTCGTTTCAAAAGTTCGCGCAATGGTTGCAAGGCTTTGCATGGTCGAAGTCGCAGGACTTGTGTTTTGGCACGGTCAAGGCTTGTCAGGAACGCAGCAGTCCCTTTGACTTACTTGCGGCGTCCTGGCACGATCCACGCTTGTCAGGACATAACAACCATGTTGATCCGCGGCGTTGCAGTCCCGGGAGCGGTGTGTTGGCACGATTGCGGATTCTCCGACCGTTATTTTCGAAAGGGCCAGTTCCCAAAATGACCATATTGTCTTTCAGGAGCCTACGAGCTTGGAGGGAGGGTATGTTGCAACATCGTTGATGCCTTTTGGGTTTACACTGCTCCTCCTCCTCCTCCTCCTCCTCCTCCTCCTCCTCCCACGGAGGAGGTTGGGGGAATCACACCATCCCTGTAGCTGTGGCTGCCATGGCCCACGCATCCCGCTATCCCCTCAATGCCTGGTTAGGGGTGTGCGCGACTGCTCTGGCATGGAGAGCACACGACTCCACTGGCTCAATCTGCGAGAATCATAGCAAACACGTCATCATCGTCAGCAGCATAGTCTTCGTCGCCGTCGTCATCGCGGCGAGCACCGCGACATCTCCTGGGTGCTCCAGCTCAGTGTCGGCGGCGACATGCGAAGGCGGAGGCGGAGGCGGAGGAGGAGGAGGAGGAGGAGGAGGAGGAGGAGGAGGAGGAGGAGAGGAGGAGGAGGAGGAGGAGGAGGAGGAGGAGGAGGAGCGTGATGATAATGGCGGTGGAGATGGTAACGACCAGGATGGTGATGATGAGGA